AAAAGATTACGTGAATCCTGTTCATTAGATAAACAGTAATTCTTGCAAGCAGCAACAGCTCATACAGTAATTCATCTGCATCTACAGAAGAAGAAATAAATCTTGAACAGGAATCAACATTGGAAAGAGACACTTCAAGAAAAAAAAATGATTATGGATGAAAACCTGCTTTCCTCATTGGATGTTGTCATGATCAGTGACCAATCAGCCTCTATAATAATAATTCCAACAATTGAAAATCCGGGAGAAGATCCAAATAATTACAATGTGAGTAATTCATCAATACAAAGGACAAAAATCAAGAAAAAATTTAAGTAAAAGTTTAAAAGAGACTTATAAAACTGACAAACCATTGTTTGGTCATTGGGATGGCAAACTACTTGAAGACATTGTTGGCAATAAGGTTGTAGATCGGTTGCTAGTCTTAATATCTGGCAGTGGAGATGATCAATTGCTTGGAGTGTCAAAATTAGATCATGGTACAGGGAAAGACATCGCAAATGCAGTACATCAGTTGGTCATTGAATTGAATCTGACAGATAATGTAAAAGATATGTGCTTTGACAAAACTTCATCAAACACCGGTCAAAAAAAAGAAGCTTATATCTTACTTGAACAAAATATAGAAAAAGATTTGTTATGGTGTCCTTGTTGACATCATATCCTTGAAATTATGTTGGAAGCAGTGGTATCCACAGCATTGTCAGCTTCACCAGACCCTGACATTCAGTTATTTAAAAGATTTAAAAAAAACTGGAGTAATATTGATCAAACTTCATTCGACAAATTAGAAAATTATCCACAAAAAGAAAAAGAAGAAAACATACAATTTGCAAAAAAAAAAAAACTCAAAGAATCTCAACCTCACGGACAATTACAAAGAATTATTAGATCTTTCAATTACATTGCTTGGCGGTACTCCAAAAGCTGGAATTAAATTCATTAAGCTTGGGGCTTATCACAGAGCACGTTGGATGACGAAAGACGTTTATTCCATGAAAATCTGGATGTTTAAAACACAGTTTAAAATAACAGCTAAAGAAGGAAAAAAAACTAAAAGAAATTTATCTGTTTTCTGTCGCAATATATATTAAGCAATGGTTCTTGGCTCCCCACGCAATAAAATGATCCACGAAATGATCTACGTCTCCTTAAAATTCTTGACAGCTACAAAAGTACAAATGAAGAATTAGCAAATGTTGCACTTGGTAAATCATTTGTGGTATCTCTCTGAAGTGGTGATTGCATTGGCTTTCTTGGATAATAAAACACGCTTTAACACCAAAAAAAAAAAAATAAAAATAAAGGATGCTATTACAAAACCTTCGGAAACAGATCCTCCAAAGAAAAAAACTATTGACTCTAAGCAGCTTGAAGATTTTGTAACAACTAATACAAATTTTTTAGTATACTTGGATTGTCTTCAGCATTCTCAAGCATACCAGTAGAAGATTGGCCTTTTGATGAGAGTCATTTGAAAGCATATAATGTAGTAAAACGTATGAAAGTTGTTAATGATATTGTTGAAAGAGGAGTGAATTTTAATGAAGATTACAACAAATTAATCACCAATGATAAGCAACAGAAACAATATCAATTGCAAGTTGTATTAAGTTATCGGAGGAAGCTCTAGGACAAATCTAAGACAAGTATTTTATCTTTGGCACAAAGATAAAACCCAAAGTATAAGTTTTATAATGTATTATATTATAAGATATCTTTTAAAAATTTCCAATGTTTTGTACTTTGTTTATTAGTAAATAGAAAATAGGAAAATGGTTTTTATAATTCTACCAGGAAACTTCCACTATAAAAAGTTAAAAAGTGACGCTGCTGCACCGGGTGTAAATGGGAATCAGCAATTTTCCGAAATACGATTTTACTCAAATGTTTGAATTTCTACAATTTTCTATTAGCCGGCGCACCCCCTAAATATTAATAATTTAATCTACAATTTCACACAGATTGTTTTTATAACAAATTAAAACAAATAAGGGGGTCTCCCAAAACATTAGAAGATTTTTTTTTACCTTTATTTTGCATGACTCTAATATATATATATATATATATATATATATATATATATATATATATATATATATATATATATATATATATATATATATATATATATATATATATATATATATATATATATATATATATATATATATATTTATATATATATATATATATATATATATATATATATATATATATATATATATATATATATATATATATATATATATATATATATATATATATATATATATATATATATATATATATATATGTATATATATATTTTAGCTGCATTAAAGTTAGTTAAAGTAATTTCTCTATCTAGCCACGTAGTATTGTTCTTAACAAATTTAGTTTCTGTGCATTTAGAGATAATCCAGTTTAATTTAAGATGGGTCAAAATGTTCATAAGTGTTGATGTCCCCAACATTGTCATTGCTCTGAACAAAAAGCAACTCAAAGAATAATAGAAAATGATTGTATGATTTCACAATATCTCGAATAGAAGCGTTGTTGTCTTTTAGAGGATTGTAAGTATCAAAATATTTCATCTAAAAAGAAATTCGAAATTATTTTTGTTTCTCCTGGACATATAAATTAAAAAAAAAAACTATTTGGGGAGAGTGGGGCACAGCTGAACACGGGGCACAGTTGAACAAAGCCATCTAAGACATCAAAATCAACACAATTTTTTTCATCTTTGCTCAACTGCGGACGTTATACAGTGTTACGCTGGTCATGTTAGTATTTAATTAAATTTATTACTTTTCAATTCATACACAATAACAATTGTGATTTCTGGTAAGTTTGTTGATATATCATGAATACTTTTGATTTTATCAGTAAATTTGTAACTCATATATTTAGAAAATGCAACTGTACTCGATGATTTTGGCACATTATTTACGTATGGTCATGTCAGTAGACCGCTACAGTTTGGGGCACTACAGTGTGTGCCCCTGGTTTGTTTGACTTTAAAATAGGCTTTTGCCTAATTAGGGCTACGATGCTGTTATTAGTTCTTAGATCTGCAGTTCATTAGTCATGCGTCAAAGTAATGACGCATGGCCATTTACATACATTGAACTGTATATTTATATAAGTAAATGTTTAGAGAATGTTGGAGGTTGGTTTATCTGACTCCTAATAGTTAAAAGAAAACAAAATTATTTTATTAATTAACAAAATTAAAAACTAAAGCTTTCAATTACATTTAACTGTTTTGAAAAATCTAAAAGAATAATGATAATTGAAACAATATAGTTTTAAATGATACTCAGTAAAAGTAATTTGCGTAAAAAGTTGATAATTAAAAAATGCAAACAAGCGTTTTGTCAAATTTGTGTTACCACATAAAATAACGTTTTAGTTAATATGTAATGTTTATTTAACTGCATGTTTCCTCAAATGGATTTGTCTATATCATGATAACAAGTTTTCAGTATGTAATGTTGACAATGATTTTTTGGCACAGTCTGTTCCAATATGCGCGGTTTGTAAACATTTTTAACGGCTAACTTTTTTAACACGACACCAAACGTAAACATTTGGTTGTAAAACGTGCTTTTGAGTCGCCCCAAATCGGTACGGTTTAAGTTAAATAGCACTTGTGTGTATTTTTGTATTTTGTCAATAGATTTATAGCTGTAACCTCCATAAACCAGAGTTCAGCAGCCATTTTCTAAATTCTTTAGCTATTTTTCGTTTCTTTTACATTTTTTTTGAAATTAGAACAATATTCTATCATTTTAAAATATTATTTTGTATTTAAGTTTGTAATTTCGCGGTTAAAATGTTTAACATATTTTAAAAATTCATAACATTATGATAATGTTATGAATTTTTAAAATATCCATAAATCAATTTGTTAATGTATAATTATAAATTAATATATTTATGTAATAATGTATAATTTACTATAAAATATATAAAGTATAACAAAAAGTGTTATAAATACTATTTGTGAAATTGCATATTATAAATGCGACTTAGTATTTATAATAATCTATTTACATCAAGACATTCAAGACATTTATAAGTTGTATTTATAATAATCTATTAACATCAAGACATTCTTTATTTAAGCATAAAAGTTATTGAATTGATCTAATAAGTTATGATAACTTTGTTTTAGCAGAATTGGAATAATTTATAAAGTGTATGTATAAGTTTATATTATAAAGCTAATCTACACCCTGTTATAGAATATACATTTACAGTATAATTTATCAAATTATAGATAAAATGTACATTATATAGTGTATATTACAAAATGATTATCATTAATGATATTATAAACTCAAACTAGGTTTAAGCTTTACAACTATGGTAATTATATTTTTAACTATAATTTATAAATTCCTCCGGAATAGCAAACTTAAAATATACAATAAAATCTATTAAATGTGCATACAGATTTCTACAATCCCTAGGAGAAATTAGTCTCAAATTCTAAAAACTGGCATTTAGCTAAATTTGACAATATAAGTTCACAATTTAAGTACACTTGAGTACTTAAATTGAAAAAAACATTTATATTAAAACAGCTGCTTGCTGGTCATTTTTTAATTTTTTATAAGAACTTAATTAATCAAAATAATATGGCAGATGCTAATATGAATTATTTTTCAACTGGAAGCTAAGCATTTATCGACATTTTTGAAAATCTTTACCTGAGAAAATTTATTAAGTTTTAGTTAGACTAACTTTATCTCTTTATCTTGAACTCATTAAGATGTAACATTGCTCATAAGGGTGTATGTATGTATCATAAAATATAGATCTATTTGTAAAAATGTACATAATGTCTTTATGTTGCTTGATGATCACCACCAAATCATTTGCATGCCTATTTGTAACAAAAATTTTAAAATCTCGCAAACATACACTAATTTATTAAAATCTTATATTGCTTTGGATTTTGACAATTTTATTTAAACATGTTTAAATTATTTTATAATTTCTCTTTTTTTCAGTCAAAAATTAAAATCATCTAATATGCAGCATGATGAGGTTTTTATATTTTGTTTAAAATCTATTATTTTTGATGTTATAGAATTATATGCAGTGTAAGCATTAATTTATTTATACTGATTTACAAAAAGCTATATGCAATGTAAACATAGTTTTGTTTATACTGGTATACAAAGAAATATATGCATTGTAAGTGTAATTGTTTTTGTACTGATTTGAACAACTGTACTTGAATCCTTGCCATCAACTGCTTTTATTAATAAATGTATTAAAAAGTCTTTTAATTAAATAACATGATATTTTAAAAGTAGACTGTTTACAGTATTTAAAAAACTCTGGATAGCTACTTTAGATGAGATGACCTTTTCCCTACTTTTTATAAAGAAAAATTCAGTGTAAGTCATAGCGTTCTTTACTACAGGCCTATTCATTGTGCAACCAGATTTTGTTTTGGAGGCCTACTTTTTCACAGAAATAAAAATTACTCATTCACGTTCAGACCAGATATTAGGGATGCCAAATATTTGGGTTTTCACTATTTGTTCAAATACCAATTACCCCAAATAGCGACCCCCAAAATATTTGTACAAATATCAAATAGTAAAATGTATGAAAAAATCAATTGATTTTGATTAAATTTTAGCTTTTATTTAAGAAGTGATATTTTAAAAATACAAGCATATTCAATTTTTCTTCTTTCATTCTATTACAAAGTTTAGTCTTGAAGTTTCCAGCTACAGAAAAGACTCTTTCAACGTCTATTGATGTTGCTTGCACAGTTAATAAGGCATCGTAAATCATCTGAAGTTTATCTGTACATTATTTTGTTCCTTCAAACGCCTTAATTTCATTTTCGATTGAAGTTTTGACTGTTTTCTGATGGTTTACAAAGTGGTTGATAGTGTCATTAAGCATGGATTTGAATCATTTTCATCATCATTTTCCTACAACAATGATTCTGCCAATAGTCTTGTATTGAGTTCCTTAATTTTTTTTCTAATAGTTAATTTTGAAGAATATTTAAAATAATCATTTTCCTTAGGATAATCACCAGTGTGAAGAAAAATCAATGTTGATATTAAATCAACATTTCTTCATGAATGCAAAATATCACTTTCCTGTGTGTTGAGTGTGTTGAATAAATAGATAAATAATCCTTCTGCCGCCATCAAATAGCAGCATTTAGAGCTTAATTTTTTAATAACTTCTTTAACAGGAATCAAACAATCTATTATGTCTTTAACTTTAGTTTCAATGCTGTCATCATATAAACCTTCAATTATTGTAGATTTTACAATTTCTTTCAGTTCATAAAATCTCTGCAATATAGGAAGTACACTATTCAATCTTGTCTTGCAGTCAATTAATAGAGTTAACTGTTTTCCGGTTGTTTCTTGGTCATTTTCGAGCAATTTTTATGGAGATTTTTGAAATTTTCTCACATATCCTCGAACAACTGATATAATTTTTCCATTGGTAAAGAGCTTTCTTGTTCATCAAAATCTAGTTTTTCATCAAAATCTTTATCTTCATCATCAAGTTCAACATTATCATTATATTCATACATTTCTTCATGATTTTTTTGATATAAACAGTCAACAATAGCTAAATTTATTCCATGATTGTAACAAAGTTGGCTTTCAAATGGCATCAAAGTGACATATTTTTCCATTACGGAAGCTCCATCGTTTATAATTGAGGCAATATCTTCTGAAATGTCAAGTTTGATGTCCTAGAGTTTTTTCTGACAATTGTTTTCAATTTTTCAGCATTACAACTACCTGATCCAACAGAAGTTAATGCAAATTGCTTAGGTTCAGTTCTGTCGTGAATTTTGATATTTAAATACCTCTTGAATGTATTATCAGTCCACTCATCAATTATTGTACTAAATTTCTTTCCCATGACTTTAGACTTTTGAATTTTTAACACAAATTCATTAAAAACTTCTTCGTAGTATTTTTTAATGTCTTCCCAAACTGTTGATCTTGATTTAGGCATTTGATGACCATGTGATGACAAATATGATTTAGTAGCATCCGAATTTATTATTTGATTATTTGAAAATCTATCTTTTGCTGTACATTTTGATATTAACAACTCTCTAGACTCTCGAACTGTAAATCTTATTGGATGTTGAATTTTTTGATTATTTGGACCTTCTGTTGATTCTGATGTATTCTTTCTTTTAAGAGATATATCCATGCCATGTTTCAATTTTAAATGATTCATCAAATTCGTTGTTCCATAATTAACAATTGTACAAACTTTATTATAGTTGTCAACTTGATATTTTGCCTGATTTTTACTGATTTTTACAAAATGTTTCCACACTTCACTTGTCATTTTCTAAATAAAATTTTAGTTAACATAACCTAAAAAGCATGTTCTCATACCTGATAGTAGTATTTATAGTACTTCTTTGTATAATTTCAATAGTTACTTGATTAAATTCACAATTAAACAAAGGTAAATTTTAAAAAATTTCAAAAGGTAAATTTTAAAAAATGTGATGGTTATTTTTTTTTTTAAATGCTGAAAATTAATTTAAAAATTTTCGCACTATTTGTGTACAAATATTTGGGTAAAAATACAAATATTTGGGTAAAAATACAAATATTTGGGTAAAAATACAAATATTTGGGTCGCCCAAATAGTGCTAAAAACCCCAAATACCCAAATAACAAATAATTGGGTTCCACATTCCTACCAGATATAACGTCATGTCATATATGATGTATTTTTATGTAATGGTATATAATTTAATGTTAATAAACTTATAGAGTTTAAACATGAAGTTTCAGATTTAATTCAAAGAAAATAATATATTTATAAAATTTAGATTAAATTATCATGCCAAATAAATCTAGTGTGTGTGGTTGTCACAACAACTATTAAAGTGAAAAAACAAAATGTCTAATGATGTTAACATCATTAGACATTTTTTTTTTTTAAATATCAGTGTATTGGTTTCCAAGTGATAATATTGAGCATGAAAAATGGATAAAAGCTATTCCAAACTTTAATTTGGTTGTTACCCAAGTATACTATAATCTGTAAATTATACTGGCCTCCAAATTTTGATACAGTTATAGTGCGTGGAGGAAAATGTCAATCAAAAAAATGCTTTATCTCAGATTCCAATTGCTAATCTGAAGTTCCAAAAGCTAAACTAAAAGAATTACTAAAAGATCTTGTGGCCAATTATGTAAATGTGTGAAATTTTGAATTAAAAAAAATTTATTTGAGCTTTATTTACATTGTTTATTGCTTTAGATTATTTTTTCTTTCTTTTTCTTTTTTCATAAAAAAATGTTATCAGGTTATACAGAGAATTTAAAATACTTTTTAGTTTTTAAATTACGTCTTAACAAATTTACTTTTATTTTTTTTGCTGTAAAAAAGTAGGTCTCCACAAAAAAATCTGGTTGTGTGATGAATAGGCCTGTAGTAAAGAATATGGTGTAAGTTTAAACTTTAATTTTGATATAACAAAACACTATGGTATAAGTTTAAATTTTAATTAGTTTTCATTCTTTTCTTTTTATGTAAAAACAGTGGTGATGTTTACAGTTTTATAGTATCTATGTATATATTTATGTATATACTATGTTTATGGTTTTATATTATCTTGACCTATAAGGTCAAATTAATATAAAACCATAATAATATATATCAATATAATTGTGATTGTATAACAATATTGTGTTAATATAATTACAGTTGAATCTTGATATCTCTATCTCTTTGTGGACCTGAAAAACTGTTAGAGATATTGAGTATGCGCAAGAGACTGGAGTAAAATTGAAGATAAGTAAAAGTTCAAGATATTGAATAGTCGAGACATCAAGAGTCAACTGTATGTGGTAATCTATAAGTTGGGATAACATAAAATGTTATAAAAGTTATAGATTTCTATTTGAGAATTTGATTTTACACTATAAATTCTTATAACTCACCAGGATTTATTAGTACGTTAGAACAAAGCAAAAACTGAGGTTTGTTTAACTAAAGATGATGAAATACCAATATCTATATTGCCGCTGCAAAACATCAAAACAAAGTCTGTTTTTGCTGTTCTGAGAAAAAGACATTTAAAGTTCTAAATTATCACTGCGTTTGGTCTTTAGGATTAAACCTAATTGTTTTCAGTCTGTTTATAGCAAATTCTATTATTTTTCATAGTATAAAAAAAAAAAAAAAAAAAAAAAAAAAATTACAAAATTTATATTTTAAACAATTTAACCATCTCAACATAATATAGTCTTAAAAGGATCTTAAGTATGGAAAACTCTACAAATTGAATTTCTTAAATCCATAAATTTTATTCAAGTATTTAATTCTATATCATTTTATTATGTTAATTAGTGCTAATGATAATAAAACTTATGCAAAAAGAAGTTTAAAAACTTAACCATTATTAACTAAACAAGTGGATAGTTTTTTAATATAATCATTTAGTGATGGAATTATCAGCAACTAATGAACTTAAAAAATACTTTTAAAATAAGTAAAATAAAACAAGTGATACAAGTAACAAAGGTTTAATTATAAAAACAGTCATTTTTTAATATCTAGCTTCTGCCAATTGTGTACTTTTCATTTTCTTAACTGATGGAAACAGACTATATAGAATCTTTTTCAATTATTTGATGGTTTGCTTTGTTATGATTTTTGGATTGTTGTTTTGGTTCTATTTTTGGTATTTCATCATTGTCATCCATGCAACTGACTTGTAGTAAGTGACCGGGGTTGATATTTGATCATGCATAAGCATTTATACATCCTAAAGTATATATTTTTTTATTCAAAGTTCATGTTATATTTTGTATATGTCAGTAGTTAAAGAATGCATACGTAAACATCTTTATGATCAACATGATCATCATTGCCATTATCATCATTTTCTTTCCTTAATTAAACCTCATTCATACAATATATAAGGCACTCCGTTCAAGTTTTCCTTCTTCTACCATTACCATTTTCTCCTAAAGCTACCTCTCTAAATGCTGATACCTAAATCACTTTAATCTTCTCTATCAAATGTTGTCCGATAAGATGTTTTTTCTAATCTAAGACAATGCCTTGTTTTCTTGTCTTGCTAGAGTCACACCACATATCCATCTGATCATCTTCTCTTTCAGCAAATACTACACCATATGAATACTAAAGTTTATATAAATATGAAAGGACATTGTTTGCCAGCATCTAAATAAATAGCAAACATTTATTTTATACCCATATTATATATGCATAAAGCGCATCTTAGAAGCTTTTATTACTTCTGGACTAAAGGTTTGGAAGCTTTTATTCCTACTCTTCAATTTTAAATCAAATCTCATTCTACTCCACATTTTTCACCATCTTGAACAGTTGCTTTATTAAACAATCATTTTTTTCATCTTTTTTACAAGAACATCTCTCTTAAAAATTAATGTCCCTTTATTATTCCAAGAAGTGAATGTAAAAAGGTCCTGTCTGTTGTTAAGCTCTGTTATTCTCAGTTTACTTAATCTTGTTTCTTATCTCAGATGTTTGGTTTTAGAGACTTTTGGTAAGTCTTCAACAATGTCATTAACTAAAGTAGGTCTAACATTTAATCTCTAATTTATGGGTCTGATCTTTTTATTCCTCCCCAGAATAAGGCAGAGTTTTTGTAAAGAAATCTTACTCTAATTTGACTCTTGAGTCTAATGGCCACACTCTTCCTGCCAACTAAGCAGATTGACTTTTGATTGACAGATTGTTAAACATCAAAATCACTATTGATTCTAATGCTAAAGTTAATTCTCAATTAAACACTTCCTCAGTTTGTGCTCCAGATAAGATTTCCATCATATTCTTAAAAAGGTGTTTTCCAGAACTCTGTTCATTTTTGCTAAATAAAACTTTTAAAAAGTGCTAAATAAGTGGTTCCAATGTTTCAAAACTCTAAAAAACACTTTGACCTCTCTAACTATTCTACGATTAGTCTTCACTCTGTTATTAGTTTCTTTATATAAAGGTTTTAAGATTATCAAATTATTTCTTACTAACTGCTGTAATAAAGTTATTCTTGAAGGCCTACACTTTTCTTAATTTCAAGTAACTTAAAGAGTACCACAAGGTATCTTTTGGTACCCTTAAGTCTTTGCTCTTGTATTGTTTCTTATCTACAATATCAATCTTCATGAAAATTGACAACTCAACTTTATACTCTTGTCTTGAAAAAAAATCTTAGCATGATTTTTGATTAATTGTTGGCATTCCTATATTGACAAATAACAACACCCTTACTCACAGACAGTCTAAAAGCACATTGTAAATGTAGTTAGACCTGCTTTATCTGCCAAGCTCATGGTCAATGCTTAAACAAGCTATCATCTCTTAAGATAAACCAAGACTCATTCTTACTTGGCTTCTTATTCATTAAGTTTAATCCATTTACTGTATTTGTTTCTTTATGCTATAAAAACTTTTTTTAATCCAGTTTTTTTCCATGTACATCAAAAAAGCCTAATAACTCTTCCCCATCTTCATATTTTTCTTTTTAATACATCCTACAACTTCTAAAGTCTTCAATTAACCATTTTCTAGTATTTTAACCTATATTCTATTTTAAAGTAATTCATAAATTAATAGTGGTTGCTTGCAATCTTGTTGGAAGTAAATTAGAGTTTAAAAATATATAAATATATGCTAGTATATAATAAATAGTATATGTAAGTTAAAAATAATAATACAAAAAGTATTAATTTTTTTCTAGCCCTGGCTATCAACCCCTAGTAAATCTTTTAATTTTGCCAGGGCCAGGTTTGAAAAAAGTCTCATTTTTAGCCAGGGCTGGGGCCGGGGTCCTGGTCATTTACTACTGACTCGAATCTTTAGGTTTTAGTAGAAATGATGATGCTGTTTTGGACAAAAACCTTTGTACGTAGGGAATGGAGATCATTTTTTTTCAGTGCATTAATACTAACTTTTATATTCATCTTCATAATTATATTTAAAGTAAAGAATATAAGGATTTTCTTTTAAAACTTTTAGTTGTACAATACTGTCCCACATAGCTTTTTTTGGTTTAGACTTTGGATAATTTGCTTTTGTTGAATTTGATATTTTAAAGCATTTGTTTGCTGATACTGCAGAGTATGCTGGAAATGCTTTTTCATTTTGAAAATTTATTATATCATCAAGATTTAACACAGTTAATACACAAGCATTTTTTTCAAAGCTTGTTCTATTGCTCTTTCCCATTACATAGGTATGTATATTGTTTGATTTAGATATTGTTTTTCAATTATTGAGTGGGTGACATCGTTTTCACTCTGACTGTGTCCTGGTACAAAGAATGTATGCTCAGTTAAATCTAATTTAAATAGAGTCAATGCATCTGACAACATTATGTCATTCTATTTTGATTTTTGCCCCACATCGATCACAGAAGAGATAAAATTGTGTTGCTCCTTTTTTGCTTTCAGATTCAATAAATTTAAATACTCCTGTACTTACTTCACAGCTTGCTTTTTTCCCCTTCATTCTCATTCCACAAATATGAATATGTCTTTAAAGAATCAATTTTTGTAACAGTGAGGTTATAATTTTGCAGATGCCTTGAATAATAAAAAGTTCCAGTTGTACCCTATGGTGGTAAAAGAACTTGCTTTATATCAAAAGCCATAGTTACAATCAACTGTATTTTATTGCTTCATTCTTCTTTTCTTCTTTATAAGCTCAAGTAAATTTTTTGTGGCAACCTCCACATTCACTCAGTTCCAAAGTATTGCTTCACCAATTTTATTTCAACCAGTTTTTTCAACATCAAAATTTGGATATTTATTAAAGTTTTTCATTACTTTTGTTATAAAAAATCTTCCATAACCATTAGGTATCGTCTCTTTGTGGACAGTAGCACTCACTGAAAATAATCTAATCATTAAAAATAACTTTTGGTAGCAATTACATTTCACTTTATAAATTGTATTGAATGTCCCCTGATATCAAGAAACAACATCTTACATTCTGTTTTGCTTCAAAAGTTCAGCTGAAAATACAATTTCCATTATATGTTAGGTGGAATATGCCATCGTCTAAGGCTTGTTTCGAAATTTTCATTGGTGCTGTTGATGATTCATGGTCTGCATTGGTCCATTTACTGCATTCAGTAAAACATAATGAAGTCATCTTATTTAAGTGATCATTACAATTTTATTCTTATTATTTAAGAGAGAAAAGTATAGCTTCTGTCAAGCATAAATTACACCTTAAAATTATTATTTACTACTGTATTTATTATAAATTAATAAACTAATATATATTTAACTAATCTGCTTTGTCGCTATTAAATATTATTCATTCTCATCAACTTTATCAATAAAATGCATGTTGCCACAGTCACCAATGCCATACTATTAACTTAAAAAAATAAAGTTTTAAAATAAACAACAACACCAGGCATGTAAAACAACAAATTTAACTTAGTACAGTAGCTCAATTGAAAATTCATTGTTTCAAATAAAAGCCTTTGACGATTTTCTGAATTATTTCACAGTGGCAAAATAATTATTACATGTGGTGAGTTCTAGCATTCTGAGTAATATTTAGAATGTTATAACTAACTCTTTAATAACTATCACCTGTTTTATATAGTAACATGTTCTTAATAAGTTTAATTTATTTTTCTTTAAAAATAATTTAGGATAACATTTTAAAAACTGGATATAAATAAATAAACATAGTTTTACTTGAGTTTAGATGGATTTGATATAGTTTTGAATGTTACTTTAAATTTTTTTTTGGGCGTAAGATATTTGAATTTTACTTTAAAAAATTTAATTATTTTTTTACATTGCGAGATGTTTTTTATACACCTAGGAAGAATTTTTAACCAAAAAAGTCATTTTTGCCAAAAATGGACTTGAGAGTTAAAGAAGTTAACCCTTAAAGTTATTCTTACCACACTGTAATGAAAGTCTTTTCACTGTAGTAAAAGTAAATAAATATCATTTTTTGAATTTTATTACAGTTTAGTTCAAATAATATACATCAAACTTGTTTTTTAAATAAAGTAATATCTTTTTAAGAAAATTTAGAAAACTTGAAACTCTTGAGAAGTTTAGGTTTTATCTTTGTTCATTTATACCAATCATATGAAAATAAATATATGCATTTTCAACAGCATTTTTTTTGGAAACCAAATAGCAATATTTAATAAACAGAGTGAGAAGTTGGTATGTAAACAGTTTTTCACATGGTAGATTTAAATATCACTCTTAAGTTTTTCGTAGAGCAACATAACTACATGCAAATAAATTTATAACAGTGGCTTTGTCATAGTATATAATTTATAACAGTGGCTTTGTCAGAGTTTCACTTCAAGTTTGATACTTTTAAGCAAAAAAAACCTTTTTTTAATGTATTATTTTAAAATAGTATTGTAGAATTATTGGGCATCATTATTGGTAGATCATTGCAAGTGTAAAATAATATTTTGTTATTTTTATTTTGTTGTTTTTGTGATTTTAATTTTGATATTATGTATTTTATTATTTTATTATTTTTTACTATATATTTTTCATTTTTCTATTTAGGTTATATGGCAACTAATTAATCGAGGTTTCTGTTCTTTTAAAGTAAAGTAAGTTGGCTAATTAAATGTTATGGTTTATCATGTAAAGTTATTGGTTAATTAATCAAACTAAGTTTGAATATTTATTTAAAATTGTTTGTTAATTAAGCGAATAAAGTTAGTTAATTAAATGAAGTTTTTATTCAATAAGTAAATTTATTTGTTAATTAATTGAACTAAGCATGCCAAATATTTAGTTGATTTGGTTAGTTAATCTTATTTAAGTTGTTATCAACAAATAATGATGTATTATAAAAAAGGCAATATGTATCTTTTCATTTCTATGAAAATACAAAACTATGTTTCTCCGCGCAGCAGCCTTGTTCGTCAAGGTTTGTGTTTCGGAGTTATAGAGTTGAGAGAGGGTTATAACCACTATTAAGTAGCCTCCTCGTCTGTAGTGGCCTTCTCGGCCTTGAGGAGGTGAATAACAAAAAAAAAAAAAAAAATTGAAAAAAAAAGTTAATACTCTATTAAAAAAAAAAAAAAAAAAATTTTGAATATTTTTTCAATAGATTTAATATTCATGTTTTTTGTATATTTTAAAAAAAATGAAAACAAATTTACTAAAGAAATATTTACTTTCAAGTATTTTACTACTTTTTAAAAAATTTTCTTTTTAGAACTCAAACTACAACTTTATGCAAAAATGAATATAATGTCTCTGGTTTGTGCAACAGGCAATCTTGCCCATTAGCAAACAGTCGATATGCTACAATTCGAGAAAAAGAAGGTATTCTTATTATAGCACGTTGTTTGTAAAAGTGCTTTAAAATATTATTAAGATTTTTATTGAATCTGCCATTTTACATCTTCAGTTGTTTGGTACCATTATTGTATGCTACTTTTACTTATTATATTGTTATTGTTTTACATAAAGATTAATTTAATAAAAGTTAAAAAGTTCTATGAGCTGGAAATCTATCAAGACCCAGCTATAGTAGGTCAATTAAATTGAGTACATTTGTCCAAATATTTCAAACAATTGACTTGAATCCATTCATCATAGTTATTTTTGAATTCTTTGACCAACTCTAAAGCAAATAATATTCCTGGTAATCTCTCTGTGGACCAATTAGACTACCAACTGGACCATTAGCTGTTTATGAGCAGAGAAAAGGTCACCTCAAATTCTGTGTTCATATAAAGTTGTTAAAACCAACTTATCCATATGTGTTTTAGATTCTAATTCAGATTCTGCAGCTGTGACTGTTACTTAGTAGCATGTCTCTGTACCTAATCTGGCTGCTTAATGTCCTTTCTGAGGAATGAATGAACTCCAAACTGGTGCGCAGAGTTTAAGAAACATACACATTCCATTTTTTTAAAGAATCTCTTAAGTATTCCTGAAACCATATCAGCCTAAAACCATATTAGTCTCCAGCATCTACCATGTAAAAAGAGTGATTGAGATACAATATAAGATACATGAAACTTTAAAACTTTATACTAGCTAGTGCAAAATCCATACAACACAGTCTAGATCACTCACTTAGTTAATTAATGTCAGCCTGGACATAGACAAAATCAAGAACACTTTTTAATTTAGTGGTTAGTTGACTATAAAGCAAAGATGATAGTGTTGCCAAATGTCCAACTTTTACGAAGGAAAACATAGTAAAAATCTTTATTTTTATAGCTTTAGCACTGTAACATAAAAGCCGGACATCTGGCAACCCTTGGCAATCTTGTATAATTTATCTGCTTAAAATTAATTTTACAGAATGTATTTTTTAGTTGCCCTATTCATTACACGTGGCTAAACTCTGACCACTAATACTGCTAGCAATTAAACTCAAAATATTTATCTTTCTTGATCATTTATTCTGATAGTTAACATTGTGAACATTTTCTATTTATAATTGCAATCATTTCTTTCTTTTTTTTCATCAAAAAATTTGAAAACATCTTTTTATCATTGCAAAAAATTGATGCAAAAAGAATTTGTTTGAACACTATTCTAAGACTACTAGTTTTTATATTTATCTCAGAGTTTTTAAAATTAATATAGATTTTTTAGATTTTAAGATTTTATATATATATATATATTTTTGGTTTATAGATTTTTGAAAAATCTTTAATAGTATAATTAACACAGAAAAATACAAAAATGTTTTTAAATTCTGGAAATCACCCCTCTAACTATTATGTAATCATTATTTTTACTGTTATTAGCAAGATATATTGAATCTTTAATTAACGAACTTAAAATATCTCATTTTGAGTTCAAAGACTTATACTCTGACAATCAATACAGATCATCTACAGGTGATTTGTTAGCTGTAATAACAAAAAAAATTTTTATGTTATCAGGTGGAAGAATTAGGTTAAAAAAAAAAGAAGAGAAAGACTATTATTTTAAGCATATCAAAAGCTTTTTATTCTTTTTACTTCTGTCATGCTGGTATTTTCCATAAGCTCTCTTCATATGAGAAGCTTTATAAAATTATTGAGTTATTCCATTGTAATTGCAGTAATAAAGATGTCCATGATAGTCAAAACTTTCCTTTTTTTTCAATATTTTCTGGGATATGAAAAAGTCCTATCTTGGTCTGTGCCTAACTCATATTAGTGATTGCTTGCAGCATTGTAGCCTTGTTGGAAGCAAATTTATTTAAAAAATATTTGCTTGTGAAAATATGAATTGAATAATGGTCTACATATTTGCAATTTTTATAGTTAAAAATTTATATATATATATATATATATATATATATATATATATATATATATATATATATATATATATATATATATATATATATATATATATATATATATATATATATTTATATTTATATTTAGGAGTGTGCTACCTTTATATGAAGACAATTGAAAGGGCACACACACCATCTAAACTTTGGGAAAAAATCAAATTGGCAAGAAATTATGAAAGTGCAATGGAGCAAATTGATAAAAATTTGATATATTGGCCAAGCTATATAATACATAAATGCAAGCAACGGTTCACTCGAATAACTCAAGTAAGATGTCTTGTGTTTTAGTGTTTTATCAAGAGTTTTTTTGGAAAATATTTTTATATTTAAACTACGATATAATTTATTTCAATATTAAAATTAAAAGTTTTTGTTTAAAATGTTAAAATTGAAATTTTTTTTTCAAAAGTTAAAAATAAAAATGTTTCTGTTTAAAAGCTCAATGAAATTACATCAGTTAACTTATAAAATCTTTACATTTACATATTAGAATTACATGCAAAACATTTACTTGTGTTCTAGGTTTTGCTTATTATTCAAATTAAATAAACATCTTAAAAATCATTTATAGAAAAGCTTTTAAAATGGCGCTTTTCTTTCGACTAATATTTTTTTTGTTGTTGTTGAGAACTTTCAATAAAGTTACAATACATTTATTTACTTGTTTTCATCTTAATATCTTCTGATGACTCGGTAGCTTTTTTTGAGTTATAATCTTAAGTTGTTTACATCTATTATTAGAAGAAAAAAAAGAAGCAAAAAAAGTTTTTTCAAATATGAACTATTGCACTATGGGCCAGGGGTTACCAAAAATGTCAAAACTAAAGTTCATATTTTGACTTATGACCATTATAAATAAATTTATAAATAATATGTCCATGTTTCATAACAATGTTATTGATATCTCTCCCAATGTCACAATAAGGAGTCTATGACTATGGGTATTATGTCTGCATTCATAACTGTTAGAAGTTTATTAATTTGTTTTTGACTAAATTGCAAAGCTATAGTATATATGGTTAGCAGTTCTTCAGAACAATTTTCCTGTTCTGATATAATTCTATAATAGCGTATCGCTATATATAAGTTTTTAACTTTACTCATATCTAGACTTGTTAATGACAATAATTTTTTATGTATTTTATTTTCTTAAAAAAAAAAAAAAAAAAAAAAAAAAAAAATGAGTAGCCTCCTCGACTGTAGTGGCCCCCTCAGGCCTTGGGGAGGTGAATAATAAAAAAACAAAAACAAAAAAAAAACCTTTTTTGGATTTTGTGTAGTTTAACCACTTTTTCTTAATTAGTTTATGCTGATTTCAAATTACTTAATACTTTTTTTTCATTATAAATATTTGGCCTTCTATTTTTATTTCATTAAAAGTGGCTATTTTGATAAAACAATTAATTGTTAAGTTAAATGAAATCAGAATCAAGAGGTCTAAGGTTTAATCTTGACTCTGACCAGATAAGCTACATTGGTATGGAAGAATGTGTAAACTTCCTAGTTTGCTTTTCCATAGTGCTTTGTGATAAGACGCTTAGTTCTTCTTAGAGCATCTTAACAACTAAAAAAAAGTCACCGTAGGTGATTGTGGATTTTTGACACTCCAAATTAAGTAGAAATTTTAAATTATTAGCTTATTCTTCTGTATAGATAAGACAACGTTTTTTGTATTTTTCAATCAATCAATAGTTATAAATTTTCAATCAGTGATTATGAATTTAAATAAAGTGGATTTTTGCTGCAATAACTTACTATTTTTTGATTATTACTAAAATAAATGTCCCACTCATCAATCATTTTTTTGCAATTTAACTTATCTTTCTGTTTTTCAACACATTTATTGACACCTGATTCGCGAGTAAATGGTCTCGCAAGTCTTGTAATTTTAAAAAAGCTAAGATATAATATCTCTTGGACCCCTAATGTAAAGCTTACAGTTCTTTTTTTGCTAACTAGCTCTGTCTCAGTTGTTTCTGTCACTGGTTCCAACTGTATTTTATATTTTTAAATTTTTAAATGAGATAAATTTCCCAAAATATTTCTACATTACCTAAATCTTGATTTCACAATGGTTTGAATATTTAGGTATATTAACATGAGGCATTTTTGTAATCAACGGTATTTCCGAAGCCGATTGCAATGAGTGCCACACTGACGCTTAAATTTAATGTTGCTTGTAATTGTTTTATAAATTGCAAAATTCTGATCAAAAATGTAATACATCTGTTATTCCATTATTGTATCTTTTTTCCAAACCCATAATACTTTTTTATTTTCTGTTCAAGAAATATAGCTAAATTTTGCTAAACTATTTGCAAGAATGATACAATCATCCAAATTTTTTTATGCGTATATACGAACTGCTTCTATGACTACTGAACAGTCAATCTTATTTAATGAAAATTTTGGAAATATAATTTATTGTTGACTTTATTTAGTACAAAGACAACCCTGAGAAAGTTTTTTATGATAAAATTTCTGGGAGATTTCTAAAGAAGATTATTAATTTTGATTTAATTATTTACTAGTTTATGATTTATTTATTTATTAGTTTGTTACTTCTTGTTCCAATACTTTTCATTTTAATCGGTATCTAAATTCAGTTTACAAATTTAATAGCACAGTATTTTCTCGTGAAGTAAATAAAACAAATTTTTACACAAGATAAGACTTATTTTTGTTTAAGCGCAACTTTCATTCATTTTAATTCAAAGTTATCCAATCAAAATTTAAATGGCATAAATTTTAACATAAAGTTGCATAACTTTACACGCAAAGAATACAAAAAATATAAAAACAGGGCTTGTAGCAATATCTGTTTATTTAGTAAAGATTTCCTCTTCTCTGACAATTTTTTTGTTTAATACAAAAAAAGTAATTGTTTTATATGGTGAGAGAATCACTGCCAGTCGTTATCTATTAAGTGTTATCTATTGTGTTTGCAACATAAAGTTGGTGTTAAAGTCTTGTAATTTTTTTAAATTTATTTTAATAAAAACTTTTTTTTCAAAAATAACTACTTTTAATTTATATTTACAACCTTATTATAAAATTTTATTTAAACTTTTGATTTCCTTCCACACAACTGCTTCAAAATAAAAAAAAAAAAATTAAGTAAAAAATATATTAAAAAAAAGTATTATTATTGGTAAAATTTCAAGATGGCGGCTGGTGAGCCAATTGGCGAGCTGCCAAGATTTCTAGTTTTTAAACTTTTTAAAATAATTAAATTGCTAAAAATTAAATTAGAATGTCAACCACAAAAAAAAAAAGGCAAAAACTAAATTGTTTATTAAAATTTTCTAAAAAAGTTAAGAATAATTTGTTAAACAAAAATATAGAATTTTGGACCACCCTCAAATTATATCACATGAGTAATTATTTTTTACTGATTGGTCAAGACATTGAAATAATTATGAAAAAACCCAAATTTAAAGTAATAAGCTTTTACCAGAAAAGTCTATAGCATTTGAAAAACTACATAACAATAAAGACAGCATATTCAAAAGAGCAGCTTAAGGTGGTGTCTGTATTCTGTATATAAGGTACAGTATGAGAATAAAATTACCCATCCATTGAAAGATGTTAATACAGTCAATATTGTTATTAAAAAAGCTAAGTTTAACATTCCATCTCTAATTCATGGGACTGATCTTATTACCTCTTACATGAATTAGGAAGTCAAACTTCAAATGAAAGAAGGAGAAGGAAGAAAAACTATTTGCAACTAACTTTTCTTTTCATTTGACCTTTGAATCTTATGATCACTTCCTGCCATTCCAGTTAAACAAATTAACCCATTGTTAGACCATCATTTCTTTTTAACTGATTTATTAAAATCAACCTTGAAGGCCAACACTCTTTTTTATTTCTAGTAGCTTCTTGGATACCTCAAGGTTTTTATCTTTGATCCTGTTTGTTTTTTATCTACATTAATGACCTTCCTAACAATCTTACACTTTTTTCTGACAACTCAAGTTTATACTTCAATCAAAAAAAAAAAAAAAAGGCAAAAAGTTTTCTCTTTAATCGCTTAGATCAGATCTTGAATCTGATATATATATATATATATATCTTAATATATTGTCATTTTATGTCATTTTATGAATCTGAACTTACATGGTTTAGATGGTTTTCAATCACTAGGAATGATCTGTGTCAATGGAAGCATAAACACTGAAAAAGTCAAGAATTTCAGTTAGATTTAAACCAAGACATTGTAGCAACAATCACTGATGGCGCGAGTGTTACAATGAAATTAGGAAAAAAGACCAGTCCCATTCATGTTGGCTGTCTTGCACATGCAATCCATCTTTATGTTTGCAAAATATTTTATAAACCTCATAAGATAAACGATGATTTAATTTATGACAAAACTGAAGAGGAAGACAATTATGAAGAAACAATAGTGAATGTGAATAGTTAAGCACTGAGACAGAGTTTCTGATATTGGTACTATTGTTGCTAAAATTCATAAAATTTTTTAAGTCTTCAGAAAGTCCCTTGGTCAGAAATGATGATAATCTTCAACCTTACAATATTCAGTCCTTTGGAAAGTAAGATGTTTTAAATTTAGATTGTAAAACGCAATGAAATAGCCTTATTAAAAGCTACAAAGATTTAAGGAAGATTGCAAAGAAGTTAAAGTAGCAATGATCCATCTTGAACAAGAATTTGATGTTTTTGATAAAGAATTGGAAAAGATTAAAGAACTATGCAATGCTCTTGCTCCCATTGAGATGACTGTATAATATTTATGCACGGAAGATACTGCTCTTTTGCTTGCTGAAAAAGTTACTGAATTTGCTGCTAAGAAGCTGAAAGATCAAGGGATATCAAAAAGCCTTGTTCTCCTAGAAAAATTTGAAGTCTAAATTCAAGAGAGAAGAAACCTCAATCTTGTATACTTGATACAGTATTTAAAATTTCCAGATACTTTAGAAGTGCAAAAGGATCAATTTGGTCTAAAAATAAAAAAAAACGTAATATAATATCTCTGGCTACTTCACTTTTAAACAGCCTTTATCCACAGAAAGCAGAAGACCTAACAGTTGATTTTAAAGTTACTAGTACTCCTGATCAAACATTAAAAAATGATGAAAAAAAAAATCTCTTTCAGATGAATTTGCTTCATTTATTCAACAAACATAGCATGGAGCTATCACCGTAGAAAAGATTTGATCTAAGATTTTTAAAAAAGAAATGAATTTATTTGAAGTTCTTCATGCAAGGCCTAAAAACTTTGAAAAAATTAAAGCTTTATC